TTAACCTAGCTATACATATTTTTTAATTTATATGTGTTTTGGTGTTAGATATATTTGTATATAGAAAAGTATATTTTATAAACATAGATTTAAATGTCAAAAGCTATTTTTGTTATGCAAATTGGCTGCGTTTTGATTCAATTTATTTATTTTTTAAATAAAATAATAAAATATTATAAAAAAAATGGCAAATTATTGTTTAGTCTCGCCATTATTAATCACCTATTTAATTAATTTTTAAATATTCCGAATTTTCCTAGTGAAAAATTATTTAATGATATTTAATTTAGGGAAAATGTTTGGTGATAGTATTTGTAACAATTTGCCTTATGGTTATGAGTTAGATTTTTTACAATATTATTCGATGATTGAGAAGAATTAATCATAATATAATATATTCCAATACATTTTCATTCTGATTTCTTTATTTTTATTATTAATAATATAATATGCACCTTTTAAAATTGTAATAATTCCTTAAAATAAAATTATACGGCCTTATATACAAAATAAATATAATTTAGAGGTTTGATATTCTTACTTAATATTTTTATTATCAAGTACAAAATATAACATTATTTTATCCTGAATTTATTTCAATCATAACAATAATCAATGTATTATATATTACATAATTTAAATAAATATTGAATTACTTAACGTTAATTGTTAATTTTGATTTTAGATGCGCCTTTGTGATTACTAGACGATAATAGCCATAAGTAGTAATGTATTAATACATAAGCTATTTATTAGATTTTAATCTTATACTTTACAGGGACTTTTCGACCTATTTTTTTTTATTTTGAGTTTTACTAATATTGACAGTATAACATAATCATGCTGAATTAAAAAATATATGTATATAATATATGTTTGTATTAAAAATTTTAGCCATGCACTTATGCAAAATTATATATATTTATATTAAAACCATTTGTAGAAGAGATTAGCTTAATTTATATGACTTAGTTCCATTATATCTATGTATAATGCTCACTGTTGAGTTAGTTAACATAATTTAAATAAATAACAAGTTTTAAAATACGTTATTATAATATATTATGATTATTCTTGGACCATAAAATAATAAAACACGTTTTTATAATATTAATAATAATTATGATATTAAAATTTTAAAGCACTTGGCTAAACACATTTTTTATAAGTGTTAATGTGATATAATTTAAATAAAAAATTTAAGCACCATGAAAGTATATATGATATATTGTATATGTATTTTTACAATAAGTTAATTATTTGGGTCAATCATTAACTAAAACGAATAAATATAAAATTTATAAGAGTTCCTTTCTAGGGTGTTGGTACAAATATTAATACACAAATATAATAACCGAAATGACGGTGTCTAATATTATTATTATTATTATTTTTTTTTTTTTAGTTATCATATCCTATTTATGCTATGTATAATAGTTCATAATTAGCTTTAATTAGAGATATTAAATCATATTAAAGATTACTAACTTATATTAAGAAAAAAATATTAGTTGAAATACTTTTAATAGAATTTACTTTAACTTAATATTGTCAGTAATTATTTCTGATTTCATATGTGTTTGCAATTAAAATATAACTAGCTGTACATAATAATATACTATATTTTTTTCTTGTTATTAAACTATTAAGTTAATAGATTAATAGAATGTAGATTGCATTTATTTTTTTTTTTTATTATAAATGGTTAGCTCAATGGGTTTATTATTATCAATTCTATTTGTTTAACATTCTTTGCATTAATTTTTCGTATTTTGTTAGATTATTACGCATAGTATTTGTGTATAATATATTTATTTATATTATATATACATATTATATTTGATGATAGGTATACCTTTGTACTTTTTGTGATATATATAAATAATATATAATATTATACGTATATACACACAATGTATTTTAATAATGTGATGATGTTTAATCTTAACACTATTTTGTTCTTTTGTTTAATTATTATTATTATTATTATTATTATTATTTAATTGATATTATTGATATTTATGTTGAATGTATTACATTAAAATCAAATATAATTAACCATGCGAGATCACACTTCACTTAATTTTACCCATTACATTACAAAATATATTGACATGACAATCTATCAATTTTCCATCATATTATTTCTTTCTGTTGCTTTCCGGATATAATTTCCACTTTTCTATTATTATATATATTTGTGTAGTCAATTCATATTAGTATTAATTACCTTTTACAACCGTATTTATATAAATTTACATGTTAATCATATACATATATGATTGTATTATCAAGTGAAGAGTAAACAAGTTTTTTTCTTTTGATTAAGTACTACTTAATATTAAAATCTGATTGGTACATAATTGTGAAAACCAAAATGACGCTCTTGTGAAATTACTGTAAATAACAGATATAAAGACATTAATAAGAATTTGGTTTCATGATATTGTTGATTATAATATGTTTTATTATTGGACCAGACTTGTTTTTCTTTTTTCTACTTTTTTATTGATTCAAATACAATCATCAAAATCTAAGAAGAAAAAAATACATATTAATTTATGTAGTTATAAGAAATGCATGTAATAATACTGATGTACAACTACTGTGATATTTGTCGTTAAGTAAAATTTTTACCTCTGATTGTTTAAAGTGTGGCCGCGCTAAGTGTATAAGACTGTCAGCACCTTATTCTTTTAAACATATAACTATATAATCATATTAATTTTTATTTTTACCTTATTCTCACAGTACTGATTTTATTCATTTTATTTTATGATTATTATTTATTATTATTAATGAAAGGTATAAAAGTTAGTGAACTTGAAATGTAGTATTAATATATTGTCACTCCTAGGTTGACCATAATTTGTACTGAATTAACTCTTAACTTACATGTTTGTTTATATATTATATTATATTTATAGTCAGATTATAGAATTATTATACTTAATCCTCAATGTTGCTTTTATATATTATTGTTTATTTATTATCATTGATATTATTGTATTTTAATCAAATATTGTCATCTGCGTAAATTGGTTTTATGGTATTAACCTATTGGAACAAAAAAAAATATATAATATGCACTAAAACTTTGTTATATTTAAATTACCTTTTATACAATGCTTACTGATCCTTAATTGTGTTTGTCCTCCTGATTTAAAATTCAACTTTCTGTTTATATATAAATAAAAATAAAAACAATAAATACAATTTGATTATTTCTGTATCTTACTATGTTTCTTAAATCTTTGTTTAGAGAAGACTATGAGTTATGACATCATTACATTAACAATATTACATATCTTCATCTCCAATAAAAAAAAAAGCATATTTCATATTTCTTGTTTCTATATGATTTAGGCTAGGTAGTGAAAGCACTTATAATAAAACTAATACTATAGCATTTATCTATTATTATATCACAGGTTTTTCAAAACTAATAACAGAGCTGAAAGTAAGTCATATTTTTAACTAAAATTTAAAATTGAGTCACTTTAAGTCACTTATGTCACTTATTTTCAAAATTTACCTAAATTTAAATTTGAACTGCATATGGCGACCAACTTCATATTTAAATCTACAGTAACATGCGGGAATCGCGGAAAAAAAATCCTGATAAAAATGAATGAAAATATATCAAAACTGTAGTATAAATATATTAAAATTGTATTGAAAAATACATTAAAGTTACATAAAAAATTATATAATATCATAAAAATTTTAATTACTTACTTAAATCACATATTAAAATATAATAAAATTTAATTTAATACAAGTCCGAAAAAATAAAATGTAATATAATAATCAATAATAAATACAATTATAGTACCTATATAATTATGATACAAATGCTATAAAATAATAAAAATGTAATATTATAATTAAGTATACCTCTTTCTTGTTTATGACTTACGACTGTTAAAAAGGCCTGTTTATAAGCAGGTATACATATAACATATTATTATACCAAAATCTTTGTTTTTATGTTATGTTCCTAATTAAATTTCAAATTATAAGTATCTATAGTAATTTTGTATATATTTATTTATTAGTCTACTATATTTGAAAAACCATCCAGGATGAATTCCTATTATAACAGACCATAGGCGTGTTTTGTACTTATGATTAAAATAAAAAAAGTTCCTAAACAATGATCTTGAATATTATTCTATATTATAAACATTATTAATTGAAATAGGTAATATGATTTAATTATTTGCTATTAAAATTAGTGCTTATTATAATCATTATTTTTTTGTAATTCCTAATTTTGTAAAAATCATAAGTATGTAGAGATTCAAAGACAAATGTTTAATAACTGGTAAGTTGTTATGAAACTAATTTATGCAGGTCACTTTTTTGTCACTTTTATGAATAAATTCAGTCACTTAGTCACTTTTTTAAATAGCTTTAACCACTTCCAGCCCTGCAATATTGAAGGATAATTACAACAAAGTATTTCTCCTCCTTGTACCATGTTTTAAACTTATAATATCGTCAAAAATATTTCTCGTACAATGAAAAATTAAGATTTTTTTTTTATTATTTAAAAAATCTTAGCTTAAAATGTTTTAATACTAAACAAAGTTTTATACTACTCAAGTATAACATATTAGAAAAATGGAGTAGTTGAATGTTGTTACAGTATCCTGGCCCGTATTACAATCATAGTTTAAACCTCGGTTACGCTTGAACCACTGATTTTATCAGCTTTTATTCGGTGGTTTAACCGGAGTTCAACTATTGTAATACGGGCCCTAAGATGTACACTTCTAATCATTTCTGGAAGTCATTTGTAACATAATATTAAATTATAATTTTTATTATTATTATTAAAATAAATGAGTTATAATAGATTTAAAATATGAATATTTAAACCAAACTCTTATAATAACTAATACTATAATTTAATAAATACAATATTATATAGATAAATAATTATTCATATATTTTGTATGGGTTTTTAAAAAACAATCATTTATATTATGATTTATTCATGAATCTGAGTTGTCTTCAATGAGCTTTTCATGAACTGCACCTAAAGCCTGTAATTTAAAAACAACAGACTTAATAAAACTTTTTTAATATAATATGTAATATGTACCTATATAAACTATAATACTATATACATTGTGTGTACAGCTACTTTGAGCTAAATTGAAATTGATCTTTTTCAACCCGCATGTGAGACATAATATGAAAGTCTGGAGCTCAAAAATAGTTACTTAATACACTTAAAATATTATTTTTTTTCTTAAGAGGACGTAGCACCTGCATTATATGTTGTCTCCATCTTACACATACATAAATTTTACGCTAAGCAGATTACGTTTAGCTCTGTTAGTTGAAAAATTAGAATAAATTGACCACAAATAAAATTTAAAGGTAAGATTATTATCCAGGGCATTATAGGCTTTTTGTTATATTTTAATTTTAAAGCGAGTTATTAGTATTTTGAATATACAAACAATTTATAATTTTAAAATACTCATAACTCGCTTTAAAATAATGAATGTAGGTATAACTTTATCTGTATCGTCGCGTATTTATTATGTAGATAACATAAATACAATAATTATATCACTTATCAGTTTGAGAACATTTGGTTTTTTTTCATTTAATTTTTAAAAATTATTGGTAGTGCTATCAAAAAAAAATTAAGCCTCCACGACAGTTAAAGTTCTTTCTTATGCGTTATGGAGTTTTGGTAATTCTACTATAAATACAGAGGGGAGTATAATATTGTCCAGCGTAAAACTGTTTTTGCTGTTTTCTTCATTTGTATGCAATGGCGTAATTACGGGGGGTATTTGGGTGTCGTATCCTCCCGGTAATCGGAAAAAAATCCCCAGACTACAATATTACTCACAACCTCATGCAAATGGTTGAACAAATATTTTTTAAACGTTAATTAGTATCTATAATTATTATTTAATTACAAATACGTATATTATATTCTATTATAATATAATATATTATATTATATTATATTGTTAAAAAAATTATATATTATAAATAATATTTTTTTTAAATTACGATAATATATTATGTGTAATTCAAATTAAATAACTAACTTAACAACGTTACAAATAGGGGTAGAATATAAAAATATTTTGAATGATCGATACGTCAAATAATACAGTTAAACACATAGTATACAAAAATATTATACAAAATATAGGTAATAAAAATAATATAAATAAATAACTATAAATAATTTTTGAAAAATTAACAACAACATTTTATATTACTATATTAATACACATTTTATGTTGGTATAATTCTGTAAAAATTAAATCCCTGAAATAAAATATTACGTTTTCAAAAATTATTTATAGTTATTTATTTATATTATTATTATTATTATTATTTTTTATTGATCCTTAAGCCCGGCATCTATGGCCATTAGCTGTTAGTATAGGTTGTAAGGTGGTGATGGTAGGGTTTTTTGTTGGTGGGGGTTTACACGTTATTTTTATTACCTATATTTTGTATAATATTTTTGTATACTATGTGTTTAACTGTATTATTTAACGTATCGATCATTCAAAATATTTTTATATTCTACACCTATTTGTAACGTTGTTGAGTTAGTTAGGTATTTAATTTGAATAATAGAATATAATATACGTATTTGTAATTAAATATTAATTATAGATACTAATTAACGTTTAAAAAATATTTGTTCAACCATTTGCATGAGGTTGTGAGTAATATTGTAGTCTGGGAATTTTTTTTCCTAAGGTCGGGGATTTTTTTCCGGGGTTGTTTGTCGGGAGATTTTTTTTCCGGGATTCACCCTCCCAATAGTATTTATTTTTATAGGAACAACAAATAAAAACCTAAATCCCTTATATGGTAGCTGTAACTAAGACAATATTACTTCATTAATAAACACTAATCACTATTGCATTTTTGCTTAGTTCCAAGGTTATAACATTTTGGACTTCGGGATTTTGCGTATATTACGCATACCTTCACAGATTATTCCAAGATTCTATAGATAGAGAATGCAATTTAGATCTCAAGCAATTGTTTGAATTTTAGGAATCTATATTTCAACGAGTTAAGAACAATGGTGCAATCATAATTTGTTGGTCGGACTTAACTCCAAGGTTATAGATACCCTTTTAAAGTTTGCAATTTTGAGTATTTTACGTCTACAAAGATAGATAAATCTACTCGAAAAAGTACATTTAAAATATTTATTAAATAGTAGGTATGTAGTTATTTATTTTCATGTATGCATTTACTTATACATGTACCTACTTACATTATACAGATCACAATGGTTGGACCTTGGACTAAGAGGTATAATTTTATATAAACCAAATTTTTTTTTGTGGCTGGTGAAGGGGGTTAAATGTTTTATTCCTCCCCACATACATGTCCAAATCGGTGTTTCCGAATTGCGGACAAAGTGACAAAAACCATGTGAGTTGCGGACGAAATCTAAAAAGGTAACATACGAATTGCGGACCCAAATATAAGATACTAATTGCGGATAATGTTACAATATTCACGCGGTGAAATCAGTAGAATATCATATATTATACAGACTGTTTTAAAAACTATGACAATGATTACCAGTAAACATGACGACTCTAATATACTCACCTAAAATGTTGGTGACGTATATTGATGTCTAAAGAGATACATAAGTTTTCATCACTAATGTATTAACATCTATGATGTGACATCTACATAACATCTACATTAAAACGTCAAGAGATATAATCGAGATGCTATACTATTTTATAAACAATTTTTCACAAAATAAAACATCTATATCAACACATTTTAAAAATAACGATTGCTCTTTTGCCAGACACAAATATTTTTAACACCACCCTACAATTTTTTTTTAGTATTGTCATAAGTCCTGCATAAAAGTGGTTGAAGGGAAATATTGTGTCCACAACTAACGTAGTTTTATTACAAACAGCTCTGTACGCAATTAGTATTATGACAAACGAAACTCGTGTCCGCAATTGTTATATATTATAATTTATAATTCCTAACCTGAATAATTCGTCCGCAACTAGTATGTGTCCGTCCAAATTACGCCACTTTTTGTATGACGGAGACAACACATGCGGCTATGGCCCATGGGAGTGTAGCGTCCACTTAATAAATAGTATGGATGCCATACGTCCCGTATTATACGGGAACGTCCCGTAATTCATGACAGTGTCCCGGTGTCCTCGTAACAGATCCAATATCGTAAAAATGTCCCGTATTATGAAATTCTCGTCCCGTATGTCCCGTAAAACTAGAATACTTGATCGTTTAATATTTGTATATATAATGTTCAAAATGTGTTTCCAAATTTCAAGACAAAAATATTTTTAACCACTGATTGACTGATAACATAATTATTAAAGGGCCTGCAAGTGACCTGTTATTTTCCTCAAAAATATGCCTTACAGGAAAAATTCTCATGCCTCGTAGAGTAATCTGATTTCGATTTTTTTTTTTTTTTTGAAAAAGAAACGCTTCTTACAGGGCTCACTCAACCTGGATTTTCAAGATTCTATTTCTAAACCATATAATACGACTTTGAATATGACCAATTTTCACAAGATTTTATTATTTTTATTATGTTTATTTAAGCAACGAAATAAAAAATCGAAGTTCAATGCGCCCTGTAGAAAATTCTCCTCTTTCTAACGAAAAAAAAATTAATCAAATCAGACCAATCTACCATGCGTGAGAGTTTTTTCTGTAAAGCGTGTTTTGAGCAAAAGATCATGCATTTAATTTTTGGTCAGCGATGCCGTTGAAATGTGCGCTCACGCGCAGTGCGTGCGTAGATAGCACGGTACTCGCATACAATCCCACTCACATTAATCATCATTGACGACTAACCCAAATGCAATGGGCGGCGGCAACGAAACTGCATGTTTCCCAAATATTGCCCCTTATTAAAGACACACGAGAAGGCCCCTTAAAGCATTTTTTAACAAAATAAACTTTATAAAACTTATCAGGCTATAAAAAACATACTGGAATGGTAGGTAGTAGGTACCCAATGGCCAACGTTTCACTCCTCCCCCCAACCATAATTTAATTGTTTATAGTTTTGTCCCGTATTTTTTATTTTGAAATCTAGCATCCCTAATTTATTAAATAGTAAATACCTTCATTCAATTTTTGTACCCTCACTAACAATAAGTAAACCTAATGCAAGATTCCTGAATGCGCTTTCCTCCAACTTAAAATAACGATTATTAATGATTCTGTGCTAGGTAAATGTGATAAAATAATTAAAACATTTTCACAAACAATATGTTTAAATTAAACATAATTTTCTTTTGCTTTTACAAAAATGTATGAATTACCTACTCTCACCCAACAACAACCAAAAATTGTATTAGTATGATAATACTATATAATCGTATCCCACTACATTTGTATAGAATAGGTAAACAATTTAATTAATATACCTAGTAAAACAATCCGAATTGAAAATATTTCTTATTTTTTTCAATTACAAATTTGTATATTATGCTTGAAATTTATTAATTATCTATACCGGCAGTTAGAATTATATATACGAACTTACCTTAAAATATTTCACAGTCTTGACTTTCAATTCCAATGTAGCGTCTTCGTCACATAGTATGATTGTTTTTGGATGTTGTTGGAACGCCGAAACGGTCCACATATGATTGACGCCTTCTTCAATGGCTTTATGCAGAGCGAACGCCTTGTGTGATCCCGTGATCAGTATCATAACCTGTAGTAGTTAAATACACAGAGTAATTAGACATGCCGCCTAATGTGACAATGTGGCGTACAGGGCTGGATCAAGGGGGGGGGGCTAACGCGATAAATATAATCGGTTAAATTTATTTTAAACCTAGTACATTACAAATTCGATAAACGACAAACACGTACTTTTGCAGCCCGTAGGTGCAGTACTGATTATGTTATATTAGACCGCAGACGCCAGATTGAGATTTCCGATTGTTTATTACTTTATTATCATATAATATTTAAAGCTCCTTTTCAAACGTTATAAATTTATTGAATTTATCTATCAAGTGTGATTTAATAATCATGTCTTTCCGAAAACATGAATCTGGTTACGAAACGAAGATCGTTATCTGAAACGAAGAGCCCTGAAAATTAGAAATGAGTACGAAGCCAAAATTCCTAAATTGTCAAATTTCTTTCAACCAATTGAAAATCCTGCATTTGAGCCAAAAATGAAAAAAAACCGTCGGCGAAATTGATACAAACACTGATAAAGTAAATTTAACATAATTTATTAAAATATTTATTTTATTTTATTTAAATTGGTAGGGTTACTGGTAATAGTATGCACAATCGTTGATAACATTTGTTGATGAACTCAGAAATGATTTTGACGCAATTGAAGATGAAGTAAAAATATTGAGTCTCTCAGTTAATAAAGAATGGTCTAATGGAGGAAAAAACAAACGTAAAATTATTCAAAAATATTCGAATGGTACTACATGTCATGAGAGTTTTAAAGGTTAGAGATACATTTAGAGTCAACACTTTTTTTGTTATCATTGATAAATTGCAAACCGAATTAAAAAAACGTAGCTCAGCTTATGACAATATAACAAACCTTTTTGGATTTTTGACTCGCTCGGACGTGATTGATGATAATTTATTGAAAAAATCCGTAAATAATTTAGTCGAAGTTTACTTCGTTGACTAGAAGAAAGTCTATACGACGAATTGAAACAATTCATTGGTATGGTCAAAGTCAAAGGAAATAATAAATAAATAAAAAACCCGGTTAACATGTTACAAATGATTGTTGAAGATAATCTCTCGGGCGTTTTTCCACATATGTATGAAGCGTTCCGAATTTTTTTAAGTATACCATGTTACTAACTGTGAAAGTGAACGATCTTTTTCAGCACTAACAATAATTAAAAATAAAAAAAACGTTGTATGATGGGTGAATCAAGACTGACATCTCTATCTATTCTTTCAATAGAGTGTGAATTGACTACGAATATTTAATTTGAAAAAATTATAAGACAATTTGCCCAGGAAAAAGTTTTTCAAACATAATATTATATAAGATTAAAAATATGTGTATATTTTTTTATTGCATATGCCGAAAAATGTATAATATGATATAAAAATAAAATGTTATTTAAAAACAATGCTATTCTTATTTTAATTTATATTTATTGCAAATTAATAAATCAGAAGAAAAAAAGGAAATTGTTTTAGGTGAAAAGGCCCCAATAAAAGTAATAGCACCCCTTAAATTATGACCATAATCCGGCCCTGGTGGCGGATATTACTAGCATATTGTATTGTATATGTTACCGGAAATGTTGACATATGATGAGAATTCCTAAAATCGGAAGGAAATGTTATCATTTCCTAACGATATAGTAGGCAAAGATGCCACATTTTTTAAATTTAATCTGAATTATTTAAATTTTAAATATTACTTTTATCAAACATAATTATTAATTAATCTACTATCACCTTAATAAATAATCAATAAATAAACAAGTATTTTTTTAACATTTTAATTTATGTAATTCAAGCTTTTTAAATTTTTTTTACGATTTGCAACGTAGTTACTCATTTCCAAAAGTTGTATAAATTTCCATTAAGTTATATGCTTTTCTTCTGCTCGTTTAGTCTTTATTGGTATAACAAATTTTGTCAAGTGATCCTGATAACTCATTATAAATCTGTAATTGTTAATACTCTGCGATTGTATATCAATTAGATCTATTTGTGCACGCGAGTTGTATGCTGAATGCAAAATTGGTTTAGAAACAAGACCTCTTTTTGGATTAGATGATTTTTTATGACAGTCGGTACAAAGACTCAAACTAATCATTATTGTTTCTTTTGTTATATTACAATATTTTAACTTTATTATTCAGCCATCATACGATCTCGTCGTCCATGGCCGATAGCTATATGCGTAGAGTGAAGAATATTGAATAGCTCTTATTCGTTTTTAACGAAATAACGTATGCTGTCATTATCATGGTTCATGGCTTTAATTAAGCGCTCTTTATCATTTATTAAAATAACGTCGTACTTACGAATATTTCTATAATCTTTTTTGCATTTTGTTTGAGTCTTGGATAATTTTACGTCTTCTATGCGACGATCGTATTCTTCATTATTCATGAACGATTTGTTGTCATCACGTTTAGCATCAATAATTAATGAAATTGCTTTATTAAATTCATTTTTAAGTTTTTAACAAAATAAATACGTACTGCACTACTAATAACCTACTACTAAACGGATCGTGTTGAATGTACAGGTTATATATTAAACAGATAAATACTGCGATATGCAACATCCATGATATTTTTCAATCAACTATTTTATCGATATCAGTCATTTCCCCACCTGATATTTTTAGATCTCGGAAAATATTGACAGTTGACACCAAACTTACTATTTTATGCCAGGGGCACACATGCGTGTTTAAAATCGGTTATCACAATCGACATAAACCCGTGTTTGATATAATTTCATGTCTCCGCACAGATATATAAAATAATTTTACCCGTGTGTCTCCGTTTCTCATTTAATTTGAGTTCGACAGCATTATTAGTTCGATAGTGTCTACTATATAGAGTGTAAAGGACTATAATATAAAGTTGTACTTAATTAATTTATAATAATTATAATTTGTATCAAAACAATATTTATCAATTTTTACAGTAAAATATACATTTTTAATATCATTTAAAAAAATAAATTAATTAATAAATGTCATTTTATGCATTCTTTTTATATATTTTTAGATCATCAAATTCCGGGCCCTAGTGATAACATTGCCGCTTCCGCTTTTAGGAATTTTCAACATTTACTAGGATTTGTCGTAATTTCCTAAATTGTCAACATTTCCGGTAACATATACATGGAGGAATGGTAAGACTTTTACAAATGTAGGTAATCTCACAGTCCTACATAAACACAGTGTTAAGGTTAACTCAAATACAAGCCTTTATTAAGAAGAATTTTTGAAGAAAATATAATTTCTATAAGTTTTAATATTTTTTATAAAAATATCCGCAGTATCATAATTTAATTTGATATTATTCTGATACGTTATAAGCCAAAAAAAGGTGGCAAGTGGGTACCGCTCTACTGTTTAGTAGTTGTCGCTTGTCGAGTATGTCGTTATAATGGATGTGTTATACTTAAATTCAATGATTAATTATTGACCATTGTATATTTGTATACGAAAAACGATTCTGAGCGGAGGCCGGAGATGTTGCAGTGTTATACTTGTATAAATAAACAAAATTAATATTTATTACTTTAAAAAAAAATTATGAAAATATCAAATGTTAAATATTTCAAAAGCTCATAAAATATTTTTGTGAAATCTTTTATATTAACATTTTTTATCTTAGGCATGAAAAAAAAACTTTTATGAATTTCTTACTGAACAATAATTAAAAATTTTAACATATAATTGAAGTGCATATAAAAATGAATCGTGCCTATATGACGTGTTTCTGATATTTATGAACTTATAAGGAACCTTATTGTATTATATTTTCAAGCTTTTTACTACAAGTGAAAAAGATTCAAAATATTCCGACATTTTTACAATTCTTTGATAATGTAAATATAAATATTTGGAAATATATTCAAAGGTCTGTGGTTATTAGTTTTTGAGTTGACCCGAAAAAAAATTGATCTTTTCAAAATATGGTTTTGCATAAAAATTACAACTTTTTTATGTTTTTCTCGACGCTTTCTAGAATTACTTGGAAGGTCAATTTTTAACCCCCAAAAGTACCAATTAGGTTGTTTAATTTTCTATCAGAAATAATGCTGATCTTGAAAATCGGACCATATTTACTATCCAAATATTGCTGACAAACAGAAAAAATAAATAAATAAGAAAACATCATTATAAAATCAATAAAATCTTTCGCTCCGCTCAGAATCTAAAATGTATTCTAAATCAGTTAAACATACAAAAAGATACTAATAATAACTTCTTACATGTGCAATTCTGAGTTCTTTCGCCATTTTTTGTTGTATTTCTCAAAACATTTACTTATATTTATTGATTATTAAACACTTTTTAGTTTTTACCATTTTTGCTAAACATAAAGGCCATTGCAATTAATATTTTACAAAAAAATTGTGATATACGAGTGACTTTATAGTATATACCTACATCTAGAGGTCTACCGTCTACGGCTACGATGACACTGGTACAAGGTGGTCGCCTATAAACATGTGAACAGATGGCACACTATTATAGTTGGTAGTTAATACTAAATCATTACCCAGTAGTCAGTACCCACTGTCCCATACATCACTTAAAAAACTCGGCCGCCTCTCGATTACCACTTTTGCCATACCACTGAGTACATATTATATGCATCCTAATCCCTAGTCTGCAGAGTCCTCTATATAGTATTTATAGTTTATAATATTAACACCGTAATTAAAAGAACAATCGTCTTAATTTTTGTTAGGAAAACGCCATATCCGCATGACGCGTTGCTCCGTCATTCGCCTAAATACAAAAGTACAATATAGCAAGTTATTCATTCACCATTTCACAATAATCCATTATACATTCTGTTATTTTTAAAACGAGTGAATAGACGTATAATTATACAATTTAAAGGTAAGATTATTTAATATTTTCTAAGGTATCTCAGATTTTTTTATTGTTGTTTTAACTACGAAATAAGTTATGAGCATTTGAAGACTACATTGTATGTACATTTTAAAATTATGATCATTTGCTTCAAAATTAAAATATCAAAAAAAACTCCGTATGCTCTTGATATTATCTTATACCCTTACATATTATGGTAGGTTGAGTAACTCTAATTTAAAAAAGAACGGAGTAAAATGGATCATTGGTGAGTGGTGACGTACCTAAAATTTGCTATGTTGATAATGTTGTACCTACGTTTGTATGATAGAGACACAAACCATGCGATTGGCGTCTTCTTGATTCTTTAATTTATCAATTAATACACGCCAGTGTGTTAAATTTGTTTTAAATATTTACCCACGGGCTCCGGTTACTTACCGTTTCGGCACTCATAACTGTTCCTACGCCAACCGTCAGTGCCTGTTTAGGGACTTTCTCAATGTCGTTGTCGAAGAACCTGGCATTTGCCTCCAATGTCTCTCGAGCCAAAGTCTTCACTCGGGTCTTAGATGCCAATGACGAGCCGGGCTCGTTGAACGCTATATGACCGTCCGGACCAATGCCTTTACGAATTAGCACAAAATCCGAACCGAATAAAACGACAACAATGTTACTATAGATAGGTAATAATATTATCAAAAACAAAAAGAATAAAGTATAACATTACCAGTGGTGCAGAGGCTATGATTATGAAAGGGGGGGTTTAAGTAGGTATATACATTAAGCTAAGTAACAGTATTTAATACCTTTTTTTAAGGGGGAAAGCAATGGGAGAAGGGGTTAAACACCCAACCCCCCTGGCTATGCCACATTACATAATATTATGTGTTATTATGTCGACTCAATGGTGCGGTGCAGACATTATTTTTTCAGACTTCATACTATAAGGTTTTCCACGATTAGTCTTTATATATGTTGAGGATTGGGTGGGGGGCATATTACTATATTAGAGCATCAATAATACTTTATGAGAACTAATAGTATTTTATGTAAAAATCAGATATTCTTTAATTTAATTTACTACATTCATACCACATGTACCTACCTCCAATAAATAGATGAACCCCACCAGCCTCTTCTATCAGCCGTTCGTAATTCATGCACTCCGCATGCAAGTCTACAGCGTTGCCGTCCAGGATGTGTGCGTTATTCGGATCTATGTCGACGTGCGTGAAAAAATTCGTCATCATATAATAATGATAGCTCTCCACATGATCTCTTGGTATTCCTGTACACGTGTTATGGATAATAAAATAAAATATTATATTATAGGTAGGTAGGTACTTGGTAGTCTGTAAATACCCAAAAATAACTAAACTCTACTGTTTATGTTTAAAATAATTTGAGTGTCTATATTACTATACTATATTCATATATTTTGTATGTATTGTAATTTTTAATATTTATGTATTCTGGTATTCGTATAGTTCTTAGTTTCTTACCCACGTATTCATCCATGTTAAACGTCTTGACGTACTTGAATGAAATATCTCCAGCCCTGTAATATTGGATCAAATACTCGTACATTCCTAATGGCGTTCCACCTACAATTGGACATATTTATTTGTGTTTGGTTACTCTTAGCGTTAATAAAATCTAAATTGTATCGTAATAATAATAGTAGAAAGAAACACTAGGACACACCTGTGGGTAACCCCAAAACAAAATATCTATCGGGCCCTGGGTTGAAGTGTCTTATCCTCTTTGCCACATATTTGGCAGCCCATTCCGAAACTTTGTCTGCATTGTCCATTATAATCAGCCTCATTATCACTAGAAATTAAAATCATAATAGTGTAAATTATATACTGTCTATTGTCTAATGATATTTGTATTTATTTATTGATATTTGTATCTGTATTAATTTACCTACATAGTCAGTTGAATATAGTCTAAATTTATATTTTTTCAATATTATTTGTTATTAAAAGGACGCTAAACCCGCATGCTTTGTCTGATTATTTCCGTCTTAAAAACGCATAACATAGCAAATTGGGCATTCTGAATAATTAATTTGTTACGGAATAAACTAAATATAAAAAGGCTTTTATCAAAGCCAACAAATAATGACTGGTTAAAACGGAATGGTTTGACAGATAAAAACCACACCGAGTAAAGGCAAACGGCAATACAGCGGTGTGGTGTGCATCTGTCATAACTAAATGCACGGACCAATCAGCGACGGACTAAGTTATCGAAAAGGGTATATATACCGGACGATTTCGATAACTTAGCCATTCAATCTTATTCAGTTGTCAAGACCGAATCGTTTCAGTTGTCATCATCGAAAATTCGTCATTCGTCCGCTCCAAACATGGGCAACCATCGAGAAGGCGCACGTCGTAAGAAGACTGACTCGCCAGCTCACATGCAGCTCCGACACTGGGATGCACCTCAGCGGCCAGAGCCAAAATCGCCTACACCTTCATCTGCTTCGACCAACACCGAAGATAGCCTCAGTACTGATTCATCTTCAGACTCATCTTCTCCTGAATCAATGAAACTTACAGAAGACGCGAACAACACTCTCGACGATTCTATAAAGGAATCAAAAACAAGAATACCTCCCATCATACTCAATCCAGATCAATGGAAAATCAGTGCTCCAAAAATCATGCCTAAATACACAAACGAACAACTACGTGCTACTTTCTCCAACAATTCTTTCCGCCTTCAGGCCTCTGACTCGGGACATCTTTCGGGACGTTCAGCGAACGCTTACCGAACTCGATACCAATTTTCACACATTCTCACTTCCGTCCGAGAGGACCCTCAAAGTTTTGCTGCGAGGCATACCAAATTTCTACTCCGAAGACGAAGTAAAAACCGACCTAGAAATACTGGGATTCAACGTTACCCACGTACGGCAATTCCTCAAGGAGGGCAGAAAACTACCAATGTACATGATCACTCTGCCATGCACCATCGACAGCAAAGAAATCTTCAACCTCGACTCTCTATTCTACGTCCGCATCAAAGTCGAACCGTACAAAACTACCGGGCCGGCCCAGTGCTTTGCTTGCCAGGGTTTCGGCCACTCCTCGTCGCACTGCAATCACTCTGCCCGCTGTGTAAAATGTGGAGACAACCACGCTACCAAGTCCTGCACCATGTCTCCCGACCAACCAGATGCTGCAACTGCAACGGAGAGCACACGGCTAACTACCGGAAGTGTCCCGCCTACACCAAAGCAGCCTCTCTGAAGAGAAAACACCCTCTAGAACTACACCGCAAGCCACAATCATCCAACCCACGTCGCCAACATACGCCCAAGCCTGCTCACCATCAAAAACTGTTCAATCTCCTGCCACGAACATAAACAAGACGAACTAGGACGTGATAGAAATTCTTAACCACGCGATCAGCCAAATTGCGACTTCGTCGAACTTCAAAGATACCATCCTTCTGGCCATCTCAGCCATAGTCTCACTCATTAACCAAAATGACTGAGCAACTAAAAATTCTACACTGGAATTGCCAGGTCCTTGGCAATAAAAAATTGGAGCTTCTCCAATTCGTACAACACCACAAAATTCACATCATCCTGCTCAACGAAACCCACCTCAATCCGAAAATTGCTTTCAAACTTCCAAATTATCACACCTACCGAAACGACCGCGCAACTCTACCAGGTCAGAGGAGCGCTGGAGGCACGGCCATCCTAGTGCTCAACAGGCTCATCCACTACGAAACTATCATCCCGACCAACTCTATCGAGAACACCACTGTCCACATCCAAATCAACCACTACGAGACTAGGCTTTCAACCGTTTTCAAAAGACCAGGAACAATCCTCCAGACGGCAGATATCGACCTCCTGCTGGACACCGAGTCTCCGACCATCATCGCGGGAGACCTCAACTCCAAACACCCAGCGTGGAACAGCAGATTGGCCAACCAAGCTGGCCTAGCTCTCAAAAATCACATGAATCACCGTGACTACATTATCGTCGCCCCCGACTCTCCGACTCGTATCCCTGACCAGCAAAACCAACTACCGGACGTTCTGGATATTGCAATTTTAAACAAAATTCATCTCACATACGACATCGTCAACTTTACCGACGAACTATCCTCGGACCACAACCCGGTTGTCCTAACCCTGCACGGCAAACCTTCGTCTCACCCACCAGTAACGACGAGAACAATAACAAACTGGCCCAGATTCGCCGTGGATCTCCACTGCACCATTAACAGCCCAAATCCAGTCATCAATTCAATCGCCGAACTCGACCAAGCGGTCAGCAATTTCACAACTCTAGTCAAAACATCCATGACCAAGAACACCACCGTTCTCGACAGTCAACGGAACAAATCCACCTTGCCGGCCAACATCCGAAGAGAAATCGCCGAAAAACGAAGACTCCGAAGACTGTGGCAAAACAGTAGAAATCCAGATGCCAAACACCACTTCAATAACCAGACATCTGTGGTCAAAAACATGATGCACCAACACAGGCAATCCGAATGGACCACCTATCTTGCCAGCCTTAGACCACGAGACCCAAAAGTCTATAAACTTAACAAATCCCTGATAAACCGAAGACCTCCTGACCGCCCGCTAAACAGTCCACAAGGCCCAGTGTTCGACGCCCCTGGCAAAGCTGAACTCTTCGCCGCAAACTTAGCAGCCCAATTCAACTGTCCTGAAGGAACTCCATCCACAAACGATCTGGTCACCAGCTCAATAAGAACCCTACACTCGGCAGCCAAGTCCCGAATCCAACCAGTATCACCAGGAGAAGTACAGCTCATTGTCAAGCGCCTACCACGGAACAAAGCACCCGGACCAGACAGCATACCCAAAACGGCTCTCCGTCACTTTTCCGACAAGACCTTGCTGGTCCTGACAAAAATTTTAAACACCTGCTTCAGATTTCAACACTTTCCCGCCCCCTGGAAAATGGCTACGGTCATAATGATTCCCAAACCAGGGAAGGACCTGAAAAATCCAAGCCACCATCGGCCAATCTCACTGATCAACTCCATGGCGAAGGTACTCGAGATCCTAGTACTGATCAAACTCAGGAGAACACTGTCCCCGTCGATCAGACCTGAACAATTTGCATTCCGTCCACAGCACTCTACAACTAACCAGCTGACACAAGTAGTCGACCACCTGACCAACGCAACAAATCGCAGGGAAAAAACAGCCGCAGTCTTCCTCGACTTCGAAAAAGCGTTCGACAAGGTATGGCACGATGGACTACTACACAAACTACTCAAGCTCAACACACCTCCACAACTTGTCAGTCTAGTCAAGTCATTTTCGTCAAACCGATCGTACTCTGTAAGAGTCGGATCGATTTTCTCAACACCAAGACAACCCGATGCTGGCGTCCCCCAAGGATCGTGCCTATCACCTTTACTATGCATCGCCTTCATCAATGACATGCCTTCCACTCCGGGAACATCAACAAACCTATTTGCGGACCACACCATGTTCATGTCAACCAGCATAGGTATGCAAAACGCCGTTGACAAACTCCAAACCCAGATAAACGCTACTCTTCCCTGGCTAAAGAACTGGAGACTTACTCTCAACCCAGAAAAATCCATAGCCATCAAACTCGGAAGAAGAGGACTCCAAAATACCTCATTACTGCGTATAAACAACACAGCTATTCAGTGGAGAACAACCGTCAAATACCTTGGAGTTCACCTGGACAACAGATTGACATTCCGTCGTCACGCCATTGAAACCGCAATCAAGGCAAAACGTACCAGAGCAGCTTTATACCCAATAATCAGCCACCACAGTCCTATCCCACTACGAGCAAGACTAAACATATTCCAAATGTATGTGAGGACAACACTCACATACGCGGGACCTGCATGGGGAGCTCAACTCTCCCTAAACAGCTGGAAAAAACTTGAAGCAGTGCAAAACGTCGCTCTCCGTACGATCACGGGCTCTCCGTGGTACGTACGAAACACAACCATCCAGGCTTCAACGCATATGACATCAGTCCAACAATCAGTCACCAAAGATGCCAAGAACATGTACGCCAGACTGGCAACGTCAAATCATCATCACCTTCGCAACATTTGCCAAACCATCGGTCCTGAAGAAACTGCCAGGAAAAGGCCAAAAGCACTCACGATATAGTGCCCAAATCCGAGATCACATCATGAAAATCGACCATCTACTCCGAGCCAGGGGGCCATAGCCCCGAAACTCGGCAAAAGGACTAATAGTCCCTCCTACCAAGCAATGCAATGTAACTTAGCCATCGTGACCCGACTACCAAACGTCAACTTAACGCCAAAATCTCACGAATCAGAACTTTACTCGAAACTCACAAAACTGACTAGTGGGAAATTTTTCTTAATTCTCTTGACCATCAGGACGGTTCCATATACAAATTAAACAAATGTCTCCTTCACAAACGTCCTGCATCCCACCCTCTTACCGGCCCCAACGGTCTAGTTTTTTCCGGCCATCGATCGAGCCGAGTTGATAGCCGACTCTCTCGAACTCCAATTCCAACCAAACCCTGGTCCCGACCTTCCAGAAGTTTCTGCCCACTCCAACTCACTTCGAAACATAAATATCACCAAATCTAATTTATTCACCACTCCTGGCACAATCCAAAAAATCATAAACAACCTCCGCAAAAAGAAAGCCCCCGGTGACGATCTCATCACCAACACTGCTCTTAAATTTCTACCGAATAACATTCTACTTTCCTTAACACAAATTATAAATTTCTCCCTCAGAATTTGCTACTTTCCACGTGCCTGGAAAAAAGCAGTAATAATTTCCAT